TGTCAAAGGTTGATTAATGCGCCTTTCACTATTATAGTTTCGTATCAGACACTACTGCCATATACATTCAGAAATTTTAGCGAAGCCTAGTAAACGGATTCGGAATATCTTCAAAAGGTAAATTGAAACGCTTATTCATGAGTGTGTTTCCATGTAAATTAACCCATTTGTTAGGCGTTCTATGTAAATATACCTATGCCCGCTTTTAACAAGAGTGGCTTTAGCTGCTAAACACTTTTCTTATTTTCAACCTAAAGACCAATATAAGGGTAAATCGAAAGAATTTGTTTCGGACTTGCAAGATTTCTCGTCAGGTATCCTTCCTCCTACTTTTTGCGATTAATACGAATTTTTATGCACTAAGAGATTCTTTATGTAAATATCCTGCAATGAATTTGAAAATGATCATTTAAAAGTGATCCAGCACGCATAAGGTAATGTATTTCATCATGTAAACGATGAAATTTCATAACCCCATATTAATGTTTTTCCTTTGGATATACGTACTGCATATTTACGGTTCCAATGAGCGTATCCTGGGCAACAACGTTCACATGAACTTCAGCGTGTCCTAACGCATCAGTTCAGTGTGATGTCTCACGCACATTGGTTCGGTTCAAAGGTTTGATAGGCAACACTGCTTGTAAAGAGCAGTCCCACAGAAGGCTTCAGATATAACCCGATGTATGTCATTTCATATCTAAATGTGAAACAAGCAAGTCTGAATAAGTACAAGGTAAAGGTACTAACACTCTCTCTGACAAATTAGGGACTTCCCATACACGACGGCTGTTATAATGGAGAGAAGAAGGTGACGATTGAGACCAGATGAAACATTGAATCTATGGAAATCTGACCTTTTGTGAAGAGATGAATTAGGCGCTGTTCTTGTACAGCGTATTATGCTCAATGCAACGTTTATAATCAGATTTCGATACGAGCGGAAAGATTGAAACCAGAGAAAATGCCGGATAACCTTAAAGAATAACGAATACACCAAGATGTGCGGGCAGTCATGCGGCCTTTCCGCAGACCTTACTCCTCGGGAATTATTAATAGATTTTCTTATGCTTTGATTTAGTTTTAAAGCTTTGAGAATTGCCGTGACGTTGAGACCATCAGGTCCGTTTACAAGCCTTACTCTCTCAACTAACTAGTAATCAAAGATCGTTTGAATTAAAATTTCAAAACGTTTCGCTACAAACGATCACGAACGACAAGACGTTTTTCGTACTTCAACCAGCTGGGTACCTTGATCTGCAAGATGCTACTCATCTAGATGAGGCTGTTTTCCTGTAGTGTGTGATTCCGTGCGAAATATTTAGTAAACTAAAATTTTCAGTTATAGCTTACTCCAGTATTGTACTTACAGATTTCTTGTTTTCGATACCACCGACAAGAATGACGATCGCGCAAATTTTTATATATACGATTGATGTCCATCCTTCGAAACAAGTTTTTTCTACTAGCTAATATATAAGGCTAACACAGATGTCAAATTTTATTGGGTCGTGGCCAGATTCGGTTCCCCATTCTTCTCGAAGCAAGTAGAACGCGTGATTACCATTCTTGAATCCCAAATGACATGAGAAATGTTTCCAAACTAGAACATCTTAATTATTTTTTAAATTTCACTGCCTAGATTTATTGTGCCTGTCCTGAAGAGTATCCACTACTTCTAAAATGTAACGGCATCAGTGACGCACTGCCTTAAATGAACAGTTTTGTAGAAAATGGTTCTAGTAGTTCTCTACAACATTACCCATATCGAGATTCAGTAAATTGTTGGCTTTACATATTGAGAGGCGATGAAGATGACATGTTAGAAGATAAAAACGGGATTCGCTGTGGAAACAATTTCTTCTTTGTCCCGTCATCCGCCTGCCATTGACAAGCGTCCTTTGACCCTTATATTCAAGTTCAGAGTAACTTTTAAAGTACTGTGAAACGCCTGTTTTCAGCATGAAAATTGCCTATTTATAAAGTGCTGCATTCTAATTTGCCCCCGGGAGGGCAGTGCTGCATTCCAACTTTTGCTATCACTGATTTTCTGATATTAGTGTCTGACTGCTGAATGGGTAATACTTGTTGCACCTCTGCTGTGCATCGGTTAACTACCGAATATTAGGTCAGTCCTACTAATAGAGGGGCAAGTCATACAATAAACAAATTTTTCTTTGAATGAAATAAGCGGTCAAAGAAGATATTGAAATGTCCATAAGAAAAGAATCTTTTGGCTAGTGGAGACTAGATGCCACATCTTGTCAGCGATATTAAGGTCAAAATGACAACCTTCCTACGCGATGCCATAGCTTTCAATAGACTCCTCATTTACACGCTGTCTTGGCCAACCGACATTCGTCTGTTTACTCTTCTCAATATATTTATGTACCGCCTTAGCCTTGCATAGTTTTGCAGATTACGAAAGTGGAATGCTCCGAAAGAAATTTCATTTTCTTAGTCTTA